GAAGCATTTTCCCTTTTTCTGCCCCAACAAAAAAAAAAAAAAAAAAAAAAAAAAAAGGATGGATTTCAACACTCGCTAAGAATTCCAGGACTCCTGTTGTGCAGTATTCCTGCCCCCACCCCACAACACAACCCCCAAAAAAAAGGTTTTAGGTACTTTTTGATAAATAGAAAACTCTGCTTCAGGATTTGCATAGTCCTTGTATAGTCTTCTCCTTGAGCGTTTGAGATACTGAAATATAATTATTATGCTGATGAGATACATATTTAATATAAATAGGAATAAAATATATGTATATAAAGGTGTATTCTTGCTATTATGGTTGGGACTAGTAACTCATGGTGACAACCCAGCAGATAACTATGATGATATCCCAGTGCAGTGATGTAACTTTGACATTAATATTCCAGTATTTCTTTGCTATATTGTGTGTTCAGCAAAGCTTTATTATAACTAAATTTATAAATGCTACAAAGGAGTGCTGTATTCATACCTTTGACTTGAAAAAAAGGGCATGGTGTTACATTTTTTTAAAGGTTCACTTAAAATGAACAGTTATACAATATGTGCATATATTTAATTACATATCCATACACATTTATCCCTCAGAATCCCTTCTACCATAAATGTTGGAACATACATATAAATACAGTTCCTAGAAAATAAACATTTAAATATCATAACACTCCTGTATCTGTATGTATTTCTACAAAACCAAAGCCTTTAAACTACTGGTTTAAGAACCTCAAAAGCATAGAGCGCTGTATTTCATGAAATTCAAAGCCTTTTTTGCCTGAAGGCAAAATCAGAGTGTGCTGGTTCCATGTCATGGCTTTGTTTGAATCCCTTACAGAAACAGCTCCTTCCTTTTATAATTTAGATAGGGAACAATATAGGAAAAAAACCCCAAAACGACCAAACCCAGACTAGGTACAGATTTGCTGCTTGAAGTTCACTGCCTTCAGAATTCAACATTTTCCAAGCCAGCTGGTGGCTTACAGCCACACAGCTGTTAATTATTTCATCATGAGCTGTGTATCTCATTATTTCAGTCAGCTCTCAAACACATTCTCCCCAGTTTACATTGTCTAGTTGTAACAATCAGTGTGCTTACACAAGAAACCAGCTGCAATGGAGTTTATCACTTTGTCAGTTCAGCCTTAAGTCCATTGAAACCATTGTCACATTTGAGATTTAACTCTCTGGGTACAACAATTTGTCTAATTCTTAATACTCCTCTCAGTGAAGACAACTGAGTTAGCATCCCTTGATCTCAGATATAAACATGTTTTCTTTCAAACTCACTCCACAGCACAGTTGAATGCTTAAAGGACACTTTTATTTCTTGGTTTGTTCTGAAAAAAATTACTTGTGTTAATATACACACGAATTACTGATTAACCCTACCTCTTGTAATTCCAAATAACAGTGAGACTCTTGAGCTTGTAGGTGCCATTTCTCTTCCAAGAAATTAGCCACACATGCAATACTACCTGTAGAAGCCCTAGGTTTTCTATTCTCTCACACAGTTACAGAAAGGGGGGAAGGGGGGGAGGGGGCGAAATAATGTAATGCTGATTTTGGAGATGGTGTTAATTTTTAATTAGAAGCAGCTTATAGTTAAGAGCAGATTACTCATATCTTCACAGAGCACATGTACAAGTCAGCTACTGATAAAAGGAAACAATTAATTTCACTGATGATAGCTGATTTCTGAGAGAGAACCAAAGCCTGTTTATATGCATCACCCCCTGACAATTGCATGCATCTTATCAATTCCTACCCAATACATTTTACCTGGTAGTGGCATGAACTGACAAATTCAGGGCACTTATCTAACTCATACATAAGGTTTTTCAAAATTACCAGGTAAATTATTTTCCAACTCATTATACAGAAAGATAATGAAGAATCAGATCTATGCCCTTAAAATGAGAGGAGTGATCCAGCTGCTGTCTCTTCCAGTTATGCATAAAAACATAGCAAAGACTTCTTTTGGAAAAAAAATTGCCTCACTTGTAATAAATCCACATGTTTCTAAAGGTTTTATAAAGACCTAATATTTCAAGCAAACTTATGTAGGAAGTATTTTTTCAGAGTTTGTGATGCTGCAGGTCTTTTCTTCATGTCAAATTACATGCAGTTTACATTCCACAAGGTTTCAGCTTTATTTCCCAGTTCCCTGCTGTACATTTTCAGGGGCTTGCACTAATTTAAAACATAAGCTTGAGTAGCAGAATAAGTTTGGCCAGAGTATGGTAAATAGCGAGGGCTGAGTTTTTAGGTATGGATTTTGACAGGAAGAAGAAACGTCACAGAATCTGTCCTGATAATTAATGACACTTGCTAATTGCAGGATATTTTATCTTGGTCATTGCAAGGTGAATGGAAATTGCATGGGAAAGTTTCTTTTCCACATAAGGAAGGGTGTTTCCATAGAGAAACTCATATCTGAGTACCCAGTGTTTGTAAATGTGTATTTATGGGACAACGCTCTGCAATTGCTGGCTCCCACAAACTCCCACAGCATGAGCTTGGCAAGCCAGGGCCTCACACCTGCTCAGATGCCCACCTAAAGTCACTGTTGTGATTCCCATTTACCTCAGGGGGAGCTGTATAGAAAGTGAAAGAATGGATTAAATCCACCTTTTTTTTTTTTACCTGTAAAGGGGGACCAAACCCTTACCCTTGGTGACAGCTGCCCCACCTGCTCTTTGCTGGTTCAGCTATTCCCACTGATGCCCAAGGTACCTTACAGATGTAACTGAAGTTAGAATTTGAGTCCTCTTTGTATTCACATGGCAGACACCTGCATGTGTCTCTTAAAGAATGTAGTTTGAAATGCACTGTAAATAGTTTTAACATACATTCCTACCACAGTTTAATAAAAACCTTAATCACAGTCACTAGTCACTGAGTTTGTCCATTTGTATTCTTCTATCTTTTAAAAATACCTGAACAAATATATAGTTTCTGGGCACAGGATTTTTGTACTAGGTTAAGGGGTTTCTCTGTATATTATGTTTTGCCTTTAAGCAGTATTAAAGTCTTCTGAATGTTATGTGTTCTCTCTTGCTTCTGTCCTATGACTTCTTAGAATAAAGCTAGTTACATTACTTAAGAGAATCATTAGACCTACTTACTGTACAGCTGCTAGAGAACATAAGGGTCAGCTTATTTTCTGTGGTTAGACTGCTGGTCATTACTTATTTCCTCATTCTTCTCTTTGTACTGTTTTCATGCTTTTTAAAATAAAAAGGGCGATGTCAAATTTTACTGGTTGTTATAATTGGTATTATCGAGGTGGAATTTTCAATGCCTGATTCAAATCATTGCTTCTTTATATTTCATAGTAACTTCTCTAGGTCCTAGAAATCCTAAAGAGAAAAATATCTGTTAATATCAAGATGCTTCTGAGTACTACTGAGATCAGCTATCAGTTAAAGCAGTTCTTGTTTCAAAACCACACCAAATAATTCAGTGCCAGTGACCACTAGAGAGCACTGGAGCTGCACCTCCTGAGAGCTGTCAGAGACCAGCTTATTTCTGACAGAAAGCAAAACCAGCTAACACAAGAGTTACACAGATGTACCTTCATCCTCTGCCCCCACAGATCAATTCCTGGGGAACATCAATTGCAAGAGAGATACAAATAGTCAACACAATGATTTCAACCAAAACTTGAGGAAAAAAATTATTTTTGACAAGCAAAGCCTCATCTTGCATAAACTGCTGATCCTTCTAGAATTCTGGACCAGTGGGCTTCTTGGCAATTTCTGTTCTTTGCCTATTAGGTCCTTCACAGCAACACTTCTGGCTTGACTTTTTTTAGCTCTAGGCAAAACCAAAAAGTATGTACACCCCTGACAAACAGCAGGCTCATTCAAGAAGTTATGAAGGGCCGGATTTAGCTCAGCACAAAACACAAGCGCTGTTTTGCTCAAACCAACTACAATTTACGAGTGGAACTGCACAACTGCCCGTGCATATCTGCAAACATCAGGTCACCATCTGCTGCTGGGACTACAACCCTTCCACCCCCTCACCAACCCAGTAGTGCTGCTGCTTAGTCTTTCTGGCCTGCTGGAGCTTTCAATTCCCTTCTGAGAAGTGGCAGTGTTTGCAGCAGGAGCTCTGGGATCCATTTCTTACCCAGCCCTGGAAAGAACACGGCCTTGAGCGAGGGCATTTTTGTTGAAGAGGTGAACAAACATTACACCAGGTCTTTCTCTTTTGGTACAGATCTGATGCCTCATTAACAAACAGAAAAGATAAAAGCTCTTTCCTCTAGCCACATTTTTAGCAGCAGTGGTGATGGCTATTGCATTTCACATTCCCATGAAACCTCACCCTTTAATATTTTTAGGAAAAAACTGACATGAGTGAGTTTGTTCTGATAGTAAGCTTTAGGGACAGACTTAGGGAGTCCGACAGTCACTGTGTTTTTCAGCCCCTCAGAGAAGAGCAGCATTTCTTAGCACACTTTTGAACTTCAGAACCGCTTCAGTTGAAAAATACCCCAAGTTCATGATGGCTGCAAAATGGTTGAAAAATCTACAGCTAACACAGGTTTATCTTTTTTAACACCATCAAATTCTAGGAGTAAAATCCATGGTTAAATCATACCAAGTGTAGTTTACACATCACACATTTACATATAAGCATCCAGGATGCTTTTATTGTAGTAGTTAATGAAGTCACTGGCAATTTATTTTATGATATATGGAGCTTCTTAATGAAAGGAAAGTTCATTTTACAGATAAGTACAGGGGTTAATTTGATCAAGGTCACATGGAAAGTCCATTTCTGAGCTGGAAAGAGCACCAGAACCTGGGTGTCTCTTCTGCTTTTACATGAGACACATGATGCCCAAATCAAGAAAAAATTTTCAATCTGAAACCATCTTTTCCTTTTGCAAATACAAGCATTTAAATATCTCAGCCATAACAGGGTGCTCTCTTGCTATAC